AGGTTAGGTCAGGTTAGGTTAGGTTAGGTTAGGTAAGGTTAGGTTAGGTTAGGTTAGGTTAGGTCAGGTTAGGTTAGGTTAGGTTAGGTTAGGTCAGGTTAGGTCAGGTCAGGTTAGGTCAGGTTAGGTTAGGTTAGGTTAGGTTAGGTAAGGTTAGGTTAGGTTAGGTTAGGTTAGGTTAGGTCAGGTTAGGTCAGGTTAGGTTAGGTCAGGTTAGGTCAGGTTAGGTTAGGTTAGGTCAGGTTAGGTTAGGTTAGGTTAAGCTAAGTTTGGTTAAGTTAGATATGGTTAAATTAACCTAAATTAACTTTTTGTATCATATCGAATGCTGTAAATCGTCTCAAACTGAAGCTGCTTCTCGTCTTGCTGTTTACATACAGAAAATATACAGATACAAACTAATGTAGTTATTGTATTTTAAATTGCTATGTATTTTACTTCAATGTGGGATATTGGAACCTATATGAAATCATCGTGAATGTCTTTACCGCTTTCTTGGACAGATTGTGTGTTGTCAACAGAGTCGAATTGTCGACTACTTGCTGTTGAGTTGTCGACCAAAACTGTAAGGACTCGTAACACTGTTATCTTCTGGGGCACCTCAATACTTTATTAAGAAATGCAGCTGTGTTATTTCTTGTAAAACTTTAAGACAATTTTCAAAAATACAACTGAGTGTATTTTTGGATCACAGACCAATTGGCATTAAATTTATTTAGTTTGTTTTATTTTCGAAGATAATGATTTATACAGATAGTGTCTGTATGCTAATATACACAAAGGAGACATACGTTATAATGTATTTAATACCTGTTTCAGTCCTTGGTTCTTCATATGTATGCAACCTAGAATTACCCTTGTCAGAATGCCACCCACAACAGCTGCCAAACTCCCGGATATATATATATATATATGTGTATATATATATATATATATATATATATATATATATATATATATATATATATATATATATATATATATATATATATATTGTGTGTATATCACGAAAATAAACACGTGATTAAAAATGTGGCAGTGTCAGACCACGGAGGAAAAATGAAACAGGAATTTCCTTAAGTACTTTCGTATATTAATACATCTTCAGGAGTGTGACTCCTTCTGAAGATGTATTAATATACGAAAGTACTTAAGGAAATTTCTGTTTCGTTTTTCCTCTGTGGTCTGACTCTGTCATATATATATATTTTACTGCTAGGTGAACAAAGGCATCAGGTGAAAGAAAACTCTTCCAATCGTTTCCCTCCCGGACTGAAACAGAACACGGTCCCATGGGTATGGACCAAGGACACAGACCACTATGCCACAGAAACCGAGCGTCCGTGTAGTTTAAATAATAATAATAATAATAATAATTTTTATTTAGGTAAAGGTACATACATAAAGAGATTTTACAAAGTTTGTTGGCTTTATAGATAGAGCTCGTACATACAATGCCTAAAGCCACTATTACGTTTAATACGTTTAATAGTAATGTTTAATTAACATTTCGAGGAGGAAGGTTCTGGCTCGCAATATATTGTGGACTCAGCAGCAGCATACAGAATGAGCAGAGAGAAGCATGGCTATGTAAACATGCACATGTGTTTAGTGATAACACATGTTAACACTAACTCTTGGCGTATGTAACAGACTAGAGGCATTGTCAGTTATCTTGAGGTTATCTTGAGATGATTTCGGGACTTTTTAGTGTCCCCGCGGCCCGGTCCTCGACCAGGCCTCCACCCCCAGGAAGCAGCCCGTGACAGCTGGCTAACACCCAGGTACCTATTTTACTGCTAGGTAACAGGGGCATAGGGTGAAAGAAACTCTGCCCATTGTTTCTCGCCGGCGCCTGGGATCGAACCCAGGACCATAGGATCACAAGTCCAGTGTGCTGTCCGCTCGGCCGACCGGCTCCCTGTCAGCTTAATGTTTTTAGATTAATACGTTTATGGAGAGATGGACATGACCTAGCTGGTCTGGAGAGGACCAGAGACATGACTAGCTGGTCTGGAGAGGACCAGAGATATGACCTAGCTGGTCTGGAGAGGTCCAGAGACATGACCAGCTAGTCTGGAGAGGGCCAGAGACATGACTAGCTGGTCTGGAGAGGACCAGAGACATGACCTAGCTGGTCTGGAGAGGTCCAGAGACATGACCAGCTAGTCTGGAGAGGGCCAGAGACATGACCAGCTGGTCTGGAGAGGATCAGAGACATGACCACTGTCTTGGAGAGGACCAGAGACATGACCAGCAGGTCTGGAGAGGACCAGAGACATGACCAGCTGGTCTGGAGAGGGTCAGAGACATGACCACTGTCTTGGAGAGGTCCAGAGACATGACAGCTGGTCTGGAGAGGTCCAGAGACATGACCACTGTCTTGGAGAGGACCAGAGACATGACCAGCTGGTCTGGAGAGGACCAGAGACATGACCAGCTGGTCTGGAGAGGTCCAGAGACATGACCACTGTTTTAGAGAGGTTCAGAGACATGACCAGCAGGTCTGAAGAGGTCCAGAGACATGACCAGCTTGTCTGGAGAGGACCAGAGACATGACCACTGTCTTGGAGAGGAACAGAGACATGACCAGCTGGTCTGGAGAGGTCCAGAGACATGACCAGCAGGTCTGAAGAGGTCCAGAGACATGACCAGCTGGTCTGGAGAGGACCAGAGACATGACCAGCTAGTCTGGAGAGGTCCAGAGACATGACCAGCTGGTCAGCTGGTAATGATTGTATTGCTTGTTTGGCTAACTGGGGCATCCCTCTACATCAACAACTAACTGTTACCAGGTTGAAACCCTCAACAGTCGTCTGACTCCTACATTACTGCTAAATGAACGCAAGTGTAATGGAGAGTGGCGAAGCGTCTCGCTCTGCCCTGGAATCGAACTCTGTTAACTATGGCGTGGCACAGTCGATTAAGGCTCGTCTGGGATCCTCTCGGACGTGGGTTCGAACCCCTCATTCCTTGTGGATTTGTTCAAGTTCAATCGGTTTTGAACCAATTGCACTAACCAGTGTTGTTGAGGGAATTCGAGTAGGTCATATGCACGAAATTTACTGGCTTTTTAGGTCATTATTTTGTATAACATATAATAGAAAATTTAATAATTTCGTGTGTTTCTATAGGCGTCATGAAAACACGAAATTAACTGATTTAATGTTTGACATAGCTTTAAAATATAATATTCATACATACTCATACATATTCATACATATTCATACACACGTTCGATTGTCTGCCCGTGTCTCTGCGCTCCAGCACCATCCCTCTATGATATCAATTCACATTGAATGAATCCAATTTTCTCTCGAGAAAAAACCGTGACATTCATTTCCCTTTATCAAAGTTTACTGCTGTTGCCGACTGGAACATGCGATCCTCTACACCAGCCACTAACTCCATATGCAGGTGAGGTTCGACACCCGGTGAAGCTGCCTCAAACTGGTGTGCGATACGAACAAATGCAGGTAAAGTATCTCTTTCTGCAAGCTCAATGTTTTTTATGTCATATTCACTTAATCTTCCATTTCCCCTGCCAGCTGAGTAAGGAAAGGTATTACTGAAATCGTGACCAGGAAAATAGAGGGAGAGAGAGACAGACGGAGAGAGAATATACTTAAAGCATGGTCCTTATTGGAGTAGAATCTGAAAGCCATTGTTGAGGAATGTCTAATTCAGGGCGCTCCAATGCTCTTCATCCATGATGAGTATTGCCATCTCTTCTGTGATGGCTGTGTGAAGAGAACACAGCCATCTTATGCTGATGGATCTGTTCCCAAACACTCTAACCTTCACATGTTCAAGAGATGAAATGCTGAACGCTACGAGTCTCAGGAATCACAAATGCAGCAATTTCTCTTTGGGGTAGATGATGACATGTTTAATTTGACACAGAGAAAAGCAAAGACTATGATCATAACTAGACAGCACAACATTGAACCAGAGAAAAGCATAAGGATGGGTGGAAATTATCTGATGTTCGGTAACGAAGTTAATTGACATATTGGGGGGTGAAACTTTACTCTTCACTAACACTGGAGAGCCTCGTGTTGAGCCTAGCAAACAAAGCAGCCAAAAATCTCACAACGGAAATATCCATTTCATACATATTCGAGAGCAGGAGGGGGGGGGGACTTCAATAACCATCCCCTCCTCATTTACCCGAGTTATGGACAAGGAAGACAAGCTTTTTAGAGTTAAGAACATCTCTAGTCTTGACCCATTCCGATTTGGCTGGTTAGTATACCATTTCATTCGTGAAGTACCAGAGATTGGCAACCACAACTCAAGGCGCTCGGCCACAAATACCCATCATGCTGACTGTGTCATTCACAAGAACATGACTCCCACTAGCGATAATTCGTTCCTTGACAGACACACACATCTGGAGCATGATCGCTCAACACAAGACAACCGACCGTATGATGGCTCGGTTACACAGCTCCAACTTTATTATCTTACAAACATGACTATATCTTTGCACTAGATAACGTTTTAACCCGATGAAAACAAAATAATAGACTTATCAAATGAGTTTCTAGAACAGGCTTCAGATGAGCTCATATGGGAACACGGCTTCTTAGCGTGCAGTGTTATTAGAAATATCATTGTCAGTCCTCATAAGTCTTAATCTTAGATTAAAATGAAACATGAGAGAGGGAGAGAAAGACAGACAGACAGAAAGAGAGACAGACAGACAGGCATATAAGAGAGAGGCAGACAGATAGCCAGAAACAAAAACAGACAGAGAAATAGAGAGACAGAGAAATAGAGAGACAAAGATGTAAGTTCTAACTCGTCTGAGCATAAACACATGCCAGTTCCCCCCTCGGAACTAACCCACCAGCAGACAATACCACAGCCACTTTCCACTCTCGAAATTCCTCCAGTTTACCCAAAAGCTTCGTAATTACGTACTACCGTATATCTTCTCTCCGGAGAGCGACATGTGATTCGCAAAACTACCTACTCTCCAACCTGATTACTGAGCTTTATAGCCGCACACTAGCGTTTTCCCCTCCTGTGTTTTTTGCTTTGTGGAAGTTGGTCTCTGTTTTCTGGGAGGTTGGTGTCTGTTTTCTGGGAGGTTGGTCTCTGTTTTCTGGGAGGTTGGTCTCTGTTTTCTGGGAGGTTGGTTTCTGTTTTCTGGGTGGTATGTCCCTGTTTTCTGGGAGGGTGGTCTCTGTTTTCTGGGTGGTATGTCCCTGTTTTCTGGGAGGGTGGTCTCTGTTTTCTGGGTGGTATGTCCCTGTTTTCTGGGAGGGTGGTCTCTGTTTTCTGGGAGATTGGTCTCTGTTTTCTGGGAGGTATGTCCCTGTTTTCTGGGAGGGTGGTCTCTGTTTTCTGGGAGGTATGTCCCTGTTTTCTGGGAGGTTGCTCTCTGTTTTCTGGGAGGTTGGTTTCTGTTTTCTGGGAGGTTGCTCTCTGTTTTCTGGGAGGTTGGTTTCTGTTTTCTGGGAGATTTGTCTCTGTTTTCTGGGAGGTTTGTCTCTGTTTTCTGGGATGTTGGTTTCTGTTTCCTGGGAGGTTTGCTCTGTTTTCTGGGACGTTGGTCTCTGTTTTCTGGGAGGTTGGTGTCTGTTTTCTGGGAGGTTGGTCTCTGTTTTCTGGGAGGTTGGTCTCTGTTTTCTGGGAGGTTGGTCTCTGTTTTCTGGGAGGTTGGTCTCTGTTTTCTGGGAGGTTGGTGTCTGTTTTCTGGGAGGATTGTTTCTGTTTTCCTGTGGTGGTGTGTGTCTCTCTCTCACCTGTTTTGAAATGCTATATTTTATTTATGTCTTTCCCTGTCCAAAGCGCTTCCGTGTTGTATTTTCTACAGTACTTTATCTCTCACAATATTTTATTTTATTTCTATTGTTTTGAAGCTATTATTGTGGGGGTTTACGCTCCCCCATTATTTGTGTCTCATTTCTAATACCTCATTTTTTGTGTATCATTACTAGTGAGTTATTACTTGTGTTTCAATACTAGTGTCTCATCACTTGCGTATCATCACTCGAGTCTCATCAATAGAATTTTCAGTATAGTCTCATAACTAGTGTCTCAACAGTAAGGTCTTGATACTAGTGCCATGAGACACAAGGGGAAAAAACTTTCCCCCCATTTTAAATCGTTAGTGTCTCATTACTATAGTGCCTCATTGCTAGAGTCTTATAGAACATACAGCATCACAACTGTGTCTCATCACAAGCGTTTCATCATCTATCGACCATCAACTACCCCATCTTCCTATTACCACCCATCACTCATCACCTATTGGTGATTATTCACCTGCTTCCTTTCCTACCACATTTTCCCCGTAAACACCATCATTCTATCCCACCATCTTTCTCTCCCCAGCCTTCCCTTCCCTTTCCAAAATTTCCAACGTTTACTTTGCCTTATCCTACACTCCAGCCCCGGCCCCATAGACATAAACCCTCCATTGCTCTCTTCCATATTCCCCATTCCACCCCCACACACTATTTACTAATTCAACCCCACCCATCCGATACCCCATACTTAGACTGGGGTTCAAGAAGACAGAACAGCAATTAAAAATCTGGTACACCAATGCTGATGGAGTGATAAATAAAGCAGACGAACTTAAAAAGAGGATTGGGAACACAAACCCTGATGTTACAGCAATAGTGGAGACTAAACTAATTGGTATGAGTTCTAATGTAAAATTTCCAAAGAAATACCTGTTGCTGGTCAAAAAGAAATTAGATTTTTATAAAATTTATAAAAACAATTTTATGGCTGTGATCTGCGATCATCCACAGAACCATCGATGACCTGGAGTGTGTGAATATACGAAGAATGCATAAATATTCTCCAAGGGGATGAATGTTACGCTAACATTAATTGTGACGGTACTATAGAGAACCGAGTGAAAGGACGGTGAAGCTGTGTCCTTGATTGTTATAGCTGTGTCCTTGATTGTTGTAGCTGTGTCCTTGATTGTTGAAGCTGTGTCCTTGATTGTTGTAGCTGTGTCCTTGATTGTTGAAGCTGTGTCCTTGATTGTTGTAGCTGTGTCCTTGATTGTTGAAGCTGTGTCCTTGATTGTTGAAGCTGTGTCCTTGATTGATGAAGCTGTGTCCTTGATTGTTGTAGCTGTGTCCTTGATTGTTGAAGCTGTGTCCATGATTGATGAAGCTGTGTCCTTGATTGATGAAGCTGTGTCCTTGATTGCTGAAGTTGTGTCCTTGATTGTTGAAGCTTTCTCCTTGATTGTTGAAGCTGTGTCCTTGATTGATGAAGCTGTGTCCTTGATTGATGAAGCTGTGTCCTTGATTGTTGAAGCTGTGTCCTTGATTGTTGAAGCTGTGTCCTTGATTGGTGAAGCTGTGTCCTTGATTGGTGAAGCTGTATCCTTGATTGTTGAAGCTGTGTCCTTGATTGGTGAAGCTGTGTCCTTGATTGTTGAAGCTGTGTCCTTGATTGTTGAAGCTGTGTCCTTGATTGTTGAAGCTGTGTCCTTGATTGATGAAGCTGTGTCCTTGATTGTTGAAGCTGTGTCCTTGATTGGTGAAGCTGTGTCCTTGATTGGTGAAGCTGTGTCCTTGATTGGTGAAGCTGTGTCCTTGATTGTTGAAGCTGTGTCCTTGATTGATGAAACTGTGTCCTTGATTGTTGAAGCTGTGTCATTGATTGTTGAAGCTGTGTCCTTGATTGGTGAAGCTGTGTCCTTGATTGGTGAAGCTGTGTCCTTGATTGGTGAAGCTGTGTCCTTGATTGTTGAAGCTGTGTCCTTGATTGGTGAAGCTGTGTCCTTGATTGTTGAAGCTGTGTCCTTGATTGTTGAAGCTGTGTCCTTGATTGGTGAAGCTGTGTCCTTGATTGGTGAAGCTGTGTCCTTGATTGGTGAAGCTGTGTCCTTGATTGGTGAAGCTGTGTCCTTGATTGTTGAAGCTGTGTCCTTGATTGTTGAAGCTGTGTCCTTGATTGTTGAAGCTGTGTCCTTGATTGGTGAAGCTGTATCCTTGATTGGTGAAGCTGCCCGCCAGAGTGCCCCACGAACCTTGGCAAAAAAGTTTAAAAAACAGTAAAACAAATTAAGTCAATATTTACCGATAGTGGGGTGTGGTGTGGTGGGGCTTTTAGTAGATTTCGTTTAACCATCCCTCAGTCCGTTTCTCCCTTTCAGCTCCCTTGTCAATCATACTCCCATCTCTCTATCCTCATCTCTCACCCTTCCCATCCCCAATCCCTTCACCCCCCTCTCCTATTCCCCCCCCCCCTTACTATTCCCTATCATCCTATTGTTGCTCATCTCTCTCCTATCGCAAATCTCCTCCCGAAACTCCATTAAACTAATCCGTCATCCATCGTCTAAACGTCCCGGTCACAACCTGCTGGTCACAACCTGCCGGTCACAACCTGCTGGTCACAACGACGTCCCGCGGCTCGGGACATATTATCCAGATATAGTGATATAACCAATCGAGATTAATATGGGGGGAAACTCGCTCGCATATATATCTACCAATTTCTGTTGCGGAAAACATCAGTTTAAAATTTTCAAAACATTTTTATTGTTGCCACAACCGTGCAATTGTGCCGGAGTTGTAGGGCATTAATGCTGCAGTTGTAGGACATTAATGCTGTAGTTGTAGGGCATTAATGCTGTAGTTGTTCATCGGTATATCGTCATAAATGCTCTATGCATTAATAATCTGGTCGTCACGACTGCATTATATACTGATGATCTGGTCGTCATAAGTTCATCATATATTGATGATGTAGTCATCATAGATGCGTCATGTATCGATAATCTGGTCGTTATAACTGGGTGTTGCATTTCTCTTCATAGTTTACAAACTGAACAACTGATCTGTTTACAATCGAATTAGTTTGCAATAACACTGATTTCTTATGGATCTAAATTATATCAGTGTTCACACAAGAATTATCAGACAACACAATACCCACAGAAATGTTTGAAGCAGGTGAAAAGAACGAATTAAGAAATATTCTCATACGGTGCGAAATAATTAAGGACGAATATTGATCAACTAAAAGATTCAAAAGCCCAGGTGTGGACGGAATTCAGTCCAGAGTCGTAAAGGAACTGGCAGATGAACTGTGTCTACCACTGAAACTGTTTTTTTCAGAAAATCTCTGGAGCAATGGATATAATTCCCCTTGATTGGAAATATGCAAATGTCGTCTATATTTTCTTTAAAAAAAGACAGAAAGTGTGCAGCAAAGAACTTGCTTTCAAGCGTTCGATCCAGAAAATCTCTGGAACAATGGATATAGTTCCCCTTGATTGGAAATATGCAAATGTCGTCTATATTTTCTTTAAAAAAAGACAGAAAGTGTGCAGCAAAGAACTTGCTTTCGATCGTTCAATCAACTTAACCTCACATATATGCAAGCTCACGGACAGAATCCTCAGGGAAGGAATCATTCCCCATCTCAGAGTGCACAGTCTAATCCGGTGAACGCAACTTGGTTGGGTTAAAAATAAATCCTGCCTTACAAACATGCTCCTTTCTTGAGAGGGGAATCTGTAACCGGCTATGCAGACAAACGATCTTACCAGAGACGTAGTGTACACGCACTCATCTATTGGAACGTTTCCTTTTCTACCTTTGACTTCATGGAAATATGGAAGTTAATATATCGTACCTCTGGTGCGTCCCAGTTTGTCCTATGGCATCTAAGCATGGAAACCTCATCTTCAGAAGGACATATATGCTTGGCAGACATGGCAACACAGACTTACAAAACTCATCCGAGTACCAAGTCGACTCTCATACCAAGAACGGTTTAGGCCCACAGGGTCACAGGGCCTCAGGGCCTCAGGGGCCTCAGGGCCTCAGGGCCTCAGGGGCCTCAGGGCCTCAGGGCCTCAGGGCCTCAGGGCCTCAGGGCCTCAGGGCCTCAGGGCCTCAGGGGCCTCAGGGCCTCAGGGCTAACAACACTGACAACCAGACATGACTGAGCTGATCTCATCGAAATTAAAAAAATACTGAACAATTTGGAGGATATTGACCCCACCACTACTTGAAGAGGTAGAGTATAATACATGCAAGGGGGGGCACTAGCTTCAAGCTCATCATGCCACACTGTAGGACAGGAAATATATTTTTTTCACTCATAGGGTTATAAACCTATGGCATGGCCTACCCCCCCCCCCCCCCAGAAGCCGTAAAGGTCCAAACATTGTTGCAGTTCAAAATTTAGCTGGAAAAATCAGGAAAAATGGGGGAGACTTTTGACAAGCCCCCGGCATTCTGTCTCCGTCGAAACTACGAGAGAGATGCAGAAAGAAAGTATTTTAACGTGATGTATCAATGAGAAAAATCAGTAGGAGCCCTGTGATGGATTCGAACCTACACACGGGGTGCTCCCCAGCACACGCCTTAGCCCACTACACCACGACATGATAAAAAAAACAATTAAATATATCACTGACGTAAATAAAATGCGTGACTTTTTGGCGCATATCTATTCAGTCATAGCCGTAATTTAATCATAATGTGATCATTGACCAACTCACTCTCTCTCTCTCTCTCTCTCTCTCTCTCTCTCTCTCTCTCTCTCTCTCTCTCTCTCTCTCTCTCTCTCTCTCTCTCTCTCTCTCTCTCTCTCTCTCTTTTCAAAAAACAAAGCTGGAATTTAAAGTGCTCCAAAATTCTTTGGAAAATCCTTGCCTTGTGCAAAATAAAAATGAAAACCTGCAAAATCCTCCATAAGTAAGTCAATGCCCGCAATGACGTGATTCAGATAAATGACAGGAATTACAGAGGAGGCATCTCAAACAAGTACACAATGAACCAACAATATATTTCATCATTATCTTTCATCCGTTATAAACAAAATCATGCATTCTATTTTAACAAATTTTGCACACTAATTCTAATATAAAGTACCCTAACTTAAGCTAACTTAAACTAACTTAACCTGACCTAACCCATAACACTGTTGTAAGGTATCAGGCAGATATGTAATAGGCATAAAATTTCCGATAGCATTTGAAAAACATTACCATGGTGTGACGGTGCATGAAATTCATGCCAAAGTAAATATTGGAAAAATATGGCAAATAACTCTTCACCTGGCCTTCAAGCCCAGAGGGAGGGAGAGAGAGAGAGAGAGAGAGAGAGAGAGAGAGAGAGAGAGAGAGAGAGAGAGAGAGAGAGAGAGAGAGAGAGAGAGAGAGAGAGAGAGAGAGAGACAGAGAACCCAGAGAGAGAGAGAGAGAGAACCCAGAGAGAGAGAGAGAGAGTGAACCCAGAGAGAGAGAGAGAGAGAACCCAGAGAGAGAGAGAGAGAGAACCCAGAGAGAGAGAGAGAGAGAGAGAGAGAGAGAGAGAGAGAGAGAGAGAGAGAGAGAGAGAGAGAGAGCGAGAGCGAGACCAGAGAGAGAACCCATGTCATATTCATGTTTTTTCCATGAAAATTTAAAAGGCTTATTGCTGAAGAACTTTCCAGGCCCGGGTGAACAACTCTCAAAGATGGAACAGTATGAACTTTAAACGAACACGGACCAAATCGTAAAAGAGAAATGCAAATAACCTGTGATCAAGTTAGGCCGATTTGATCCTCAGTCAACATAACTGAACCCCTAACACAACTGTTTGACCTTCAGTGAACATAACTGAACCCCTAACACAACTGTTTGACCTTCAGTGAACATAACTGAACCCCTGACACAACTGTTTGACCTTCAGTGAACATAACTGAACCCCTAACACAATTGTTTGACCTTCAGTGAACATAACTGAACCCCTGACACAATTGTTTGACCTTCAGTGAACATAACTGAACCCCTAACACAATTGTTTGACCTACAGTCAACAAACCCGAACACCTAACACAACTATTTACATTCTAGATTGGAATGTTACAGTGTGTGTGTGTGGGTAAACTGGGAGGGGATTCTTCACAGATAACTGCTGACTGTAGGAGAGATATGATGAACATTGTGAGGCGCTATTAACTGTGGCCAGCACTGGAGATAATTTGCATGTGACTTATGACACATGTTTCGTAAATTATTTAGAGAGACAAGTGAGAGAGAGCGAGACAAGGACACAAATTTAGTGAGGGGAAGGGGGCGAAGCAGGAGTAAACGGAAGGATTGGACAAACACAAAATGACTTCATAGAGATAAGTGAGATGGGAAACAGATAAACGAGGGGAAAGAAAGATACGAAGAGTGATAAACGTGAGTAAAGACATAAGAGACGAGAAAAGAGAGAAATAAACTAGAGTAAAATTCACCTCAAGTCTAGTGGGAGTTTATAAACCAAAAACCCGACAAAAAAACATGGAGCAAAATGTAAAATTGTTCGAAGTTTTTTTTTACTTTTGACAGAGGCACGAGTAATTTTTTAACTGGGACGGGAGCAGCAACACCCCGGGCTTCGAACGGGGAGGAACACACCAAAAGTATTCTGAAGTGTTAAAGAGAGAGAGAGAATACCACTACGTTCAGAATATTTACCTCTTGTGATAGTTCGGTTTGTTTATTTGAGTCAGATATATATATATATATATATATATATATATATATATATATATATATATATATATATATATATATAAAGTTTGTGAGGGTACCACCTCTGGTGCCAATGTGGGGACCCATAGCCTCGGAGAAGAAAATAAAAAGTATTCAGAGGAGACCTTGTGGTTTCTCACTGAACTATATATATATATATATATATATATATATATATATATATATATATATATAAACACAGAAACTCTTCCCCTATTAGAGACTCGAACCCAGGCTAACCAAGTGGCCAACCAGTACACTAACCATTACACCATCCCAGATCATTAAAAAAGCTCTAAGTCAGGCGACTATTCCAGGACTACTGCTCCCAATGAGTTTACAGGGAAGGGGGAAACAGTTATGGATTGGTTCCCAGTCAATCGTTACTGACTTTTATCAAGGGACGACACGTTCGAGACACGTGACTCGAACACGTGACAGTGTGTCACGTGTTCGAGTCTTTACTGTCTACACACACACACACACACACACACACACACACACACCACTTAGCCATCATATCTACACTTGAAACTGTGTATGGAGTCAGCCTCCACCACATCACTTCCTAATGCATTCCATTTGTGTGTGTGTGTGTGTGTGTGTGTGTGTGTGTGTGTGTGTGTGTGTGTGTGTGTGTGTGTGTGTGTGTGTGTGTGTGTGTGTGCGTGTGTGTGCACGCGCGC